CCCCCCCCCCCCCCCCCCCCCCCCCCCCCCCCCCCCCCCCCCCCCCCCCCCCCCCCCCCCCCCCCCCGGGTTATTTAAAGTAAAAAAGATTTGTCTTTTAGGTTGTAAGTCAGTATAAGGCAGCAATCATCCAATTATTAATATTCCTGAGCGTGTTGTATCAATTTTAGCGTGTAGTAAAGAATATTTTATCTTGAATGACATAAACATCTTTTCTTTTATTTTAGTATGTTGATGAAGTTGTTATCAGAGCACCATATTCGATTTCAAAAGACCTGATTAATCATTTCAAAGTTGACTTAATCTTTTCATTCTTGAATTATTTGGAAGCAATAATAGATATATATATCTTGCATTTTGGAATCTTCCATGTCGTTAAAATCGCTCCATTTTTGAACGATTAGTTGCGATAGAAATAAAATCGGAAATTCATCGCAATTTTGACTATAATCGTCCATAAATTGCGATATATCGGCGATTTTTAACAACCGGTAATTAATGGGCCTGCATTAAAAAAATTACCGATATAACGCCATTCTTAAAAACATCGCAAATTAATTATGATTGATTCTGGTGATTTTTGTGTTTTTTAATAATGGTCAATTAATTGCGATTAATTGTCGATTTTAAGCCATTAAATGTTTTTTTGTTATTCACCGTTTCATTCTGCAGTAGAGTAAGTATGTAAGAAACACGATTTAAACGAGACATGTTCTTCTTTTCAGATTATCTTTTTAATTTAGCTTAAAACGATTTATTGCCGATGTTGACTATATGGGCTACCGATTCATGCATGCAGAGTATTCAATAATCATACAGTTTTGCTCAGTAAACTGTTAACTGGACATATTTTCTATTTTATTGAAAATGCTTGGGGAGTCTAAAGTGGCTATAATATATTGCACGATCCCATAACAAATTGGAAAGTCAACCAATTCTAAAAAATAGAAAATCGATTCATTTTCAATAAAATCAATTTTTTACTAAGTCGAAAATCAATACCCATCTTTTTAGAAAACTGCAATTCTACAAAAAATAGACCGTGATTTTCCGCTTTTCTTTCATTCACCTTTTTGTTTTGCCCGTGCATTAATATATAAGAACACGTAATGTTCTTACATACCAATTTTTCTCCGTGACTTCGTCGAAATGTGAACTTTGATCACTCACTTCATGGGAGACAGTTTGTGTTATGATGACAAAAAATGTTGATTTTTTAGAAAATCTACCTTCATTTTCCTGTAAATCGATTATGATTTTATAAAAAATCGCCGATAATTGTACATATGGAATGCTAGAAAACCTCTTTTTTTTGTAGAATGTAAATTTTCAGGTGATACTACGATGTTTAATTATATGCTACTAGTATAAATTTTGTGTGCTTCCTATAACTGCAAAATACACATAAAGACAGATGGGCACGTTCAAGTCCAAACTTGGACTTTTTCTGATGGGCTTAAACTGGAAAGTCCTTGAACTTGTCGATTTTTATAAGGACAAGAAGTTATTACTAATTCTTATTTCAATCATCTATTCGTAAATATACTAGAAACAACGTAAAATTACGAAATCGAATCAATAATATCTTTTTGTGTTGGTATCTGACTAACAACATGTAATTTTATTAGTTTGAATCGACTATCTCCGCGATAACATTCGAGAATTATCTGTAGGATTTAACGCTTTTTAAAATGCAGTTCGTTATGGATGACACTTGCAGAAGTATGATAAGAGTTTGGAGAGAAAATGTCGTTGAAAGATGTCGCAAGTCTTCAGTATGGGACTATAGCAACTAAATTACAATTACAAAATTGTACGTAGGTTTGATTTATTTATAAGTTAAATGATTCATGAGCGTTGTAGCTCATCATGTTCACAAAGAATAGATTTCAAAAATGCTGTTGTCATGTGAACGTCAGGCAGCATGGCTATGTTTTCATACTTCAAATAGAAAAAAGCAACAGTTCGTTGGTGAGTCGCTGCACATTTCAAATATCTGCTTCCGCAAAATATGTCGACTGCTACACAACCAGAAAAACTTGACTCACTTCAAAAATTGGAACTAGAATCAACAATTGGATTCGAAGGTAATTTTTGATGATTCCAAGTTACTCTTTCCAGTGAGACGCGCTATGCATGCTTCGTTATTGTAGTAGTAGAGAACTCAACCTGCTATTTCTTCCGGCACCATTTTAGGAAAAGTTCCCCATGGATTAAGATTACATCCAGACCGTGTTCACATGGTCTATCCCCTGGGATGTAATTTAGTCATTGAAAATCTACAAACTCGTCAACAAGAGTTTTTACTTGGTCACAATAATAACATATCGTGTTTAACAATATCAAACAATGGGAAATATATTGCATCAGGACAAGTTACATTTATGGGATTTAAAGTAAACAACTTTTTGTCGCTTTATGAGTCTTTCTCGTTCTGGGAAATATGAGTAACACTCCCTTGTTTTAGGCTGATATTATCGTATGGGATTATGAGAGTCGGGATCCTTACGCTCGGCTTGTCTTACATAAAGTGAAAATTGAAAATTTAGCGTTTTCATCATCAGATAAATTCTTGTTCTCGCTTGGCGGACAAGATGATGGAAGCATTGTTGTATGGAATATCGAAACGAAAGAGCCCGTATGCGGTAGTCCCGCTCAGCATAAGAGTGCTGGAATCACATATTGTCTAGCATCTGCAAAAGATAATGATTATCTGTTTTACAGTGGTGGAAAGTAAGATATTTGTCTTTAAGAAAATATCAAAAATAATTTTCTTTTTACATATTTAGTGGTACATTACGATTTTGGCAATTAGATGTGGCTAATCGAAAAATTCGTCCGACAGACATCAACACAGGGACAACTAAACGAATCGTAAAATGCATGGCGGCAAGTATAAACTATTTGATAAATATGATTTGAGAGAATCTCTCTTTTTGGTTTAGGTTTCACTCGATGGAACTCATCTGTATTGTGGTACGACTACAGGTGATGTATTAATGATTTATGTTCCCGCTGCACAATTCAAAGCAATTGGACCCGAAAAGAAAAAATATTCAATGGGTATCACGGCCATGCAAAGTCTAGTAAATGGTGATGTTCTAATAGGAACAGGTGAAGGAAAAATACATGTGACTGAACAAGGTACATTTAAATCCACGAAATGTTTACAAGCCATGGGAGAAGTGACATCGTTGGCTCTACGTGGTGAAGGACACATGGTAAGCTTCTCATAATATCAAATTTCTGCATTTACATGTATATCTTAATATATTGTGTCAGATATTCATTGGCACAGATCGTGCTCATATTTACAAAGTGAACTATGCAGATTGGAAAATGGAATTAATTAACACCTGTCATAATTCGCCAATAAATGACATTGCTTTTCCATTGTAAGCTCCAATATTAGTCTATCTTTTATTTTCAGTTATTAATTTTTATTGTGCATTTCTGTTAGTGGAAGTTCAGAATTATTTGGTACCTGTAGTTTTCAAGATATTCGTATTTGGCATGCACCAACCGGTAGAAAAATATTTTTTGTTTTATAAATTTAGCTTAATTGATTTTCTTCTGTTTTTTTTTCAGGAAACGAATTATTAAGAATAACACAAGCAAATAAAACGTGTAATTCACTATGTTTTACAAGAGATGGAAAAATAATCGTGAGGTAAAACTGTTAATTAACTCTCTCATTATTCTATTAATAAAAGTTTTATCATTTAGTGGATGGGATGATGGTCGTATTCGTGGTTTTTATCCTGAAAGTGGACGAGAAATGTTTACTGTGAATGATGCTCATCATCGGGGGGTAACGGCTGTGGCTGTTACAAATGACTGTAAACGAATTGTGTCGGGCGGTGGTGAAGGAATGGTAACGCTTGTATATTTATATATTTTTAAGAAGATTAATTGTTTGTGTATCAAAGATTCGTGTATGGCAATTGAATAAAAATTCACGTGATCTAATAGCAACAATGAAAGAACATAAAAATGCTGTTGTTTCAATACGAATAAATAAATCTGACACCGAATGTGTTACAGCTAGCTTAGATGGAACATGTATTATTTGGAATTTAAAGTAGTTAAATAACAAAATATATAATTCATATATTCTCAAAAACTCGTTGTTTTTTGTTGCAGACGTTTTGTTCGTAATCAAGTTTTATTTGAAAATACACTGTTTCAATGCGTCGCTTACCATCCAGAAGAATATCATATTATCACAGGTGGTACAGATCGTAAAATTGCCTATTGGGAAGCGGTCAATGGTGCACAAATACGAGAATTAGAAGCATCAAAATCAGGTGGGACACAGATTAACATTTAAATTAAACAATAAAGAGATATATAAGTTATATAATTCTTGTTCTAGGAACAATTAATGGTTTGGATATCGACTGTTTGGGAAATTATTTCGTCACTGTTAGCGCAGATAAATTAGTTAAAGTAAGTTAAACGTTTGATACGAATACAATCTCAATGAATGTACAGTTTCTATATTCGAGCCTAAATTACGGAGGATGTTTATTATTCTAAGACCAACAACTTTTTCATTTCTTTCTAGTTATGGCGATATAATGAAGGTGAAGTGTTTTCTGTTGGTATTGGTCATGGAAGTGAAATAAAAAAAGTGAAAATATGTCCAAATAGCGAACATATTGTATCAGTGAGTGCAGACGGTGCCATATTTCGATGGAGATTTCCAAAAAATGCCGGTTAAACGGAGCTCGTGATATTCACATAATTTTATTGTCTGTTTTGTATAAGAAATAAAATCGTCGCGTTTTTTTTTTAAATTCTTGTTCGCGAACTATTTACCTATTTCTCTCTAATATTCACTTCATGGCTTTTCATGTAAAAATTCACATTGAATAAGCACAATAAACATGTTTTTTAATATGTATTGAATGTTTCCAATGGGAAAGGAAGGCACTCACAGCTCAATTCATAGCCAGTTGACGTGAGAAAATATCGTCGATTTACACTTTTAATGTTGAATAATAATTGATATTGCTTTAATAAGAAATGTAGACAAATATTTATGTAAGTATTCACAGACAAATAAATTATTCTATGGGTGTATCATCTTTATTGTTGCATCTGAAACGTAGAGAACAAAAGATTGAGCCTGGTATGACACTGAACATTCAAATACGTTTAAAATTAAATGGAAGTTCCCCTGATATTACTATCGTATATGAACTGATTGAAGTATTACTTCCCAATGACGAATGATACATACGAGAATTATTCAGTACCGTATACCCGTCAAATATGAGTTCCCAAATAGATTTACAGGATTAAAAAACACAATCAAAAGAAAAAATGAATATAGACATTTGAGTCTAACTTAAGGTTGTTGACTAATAATTATAAGGAATCGTTTCATAGCACATACAAAGAAGATGTAAGCAGTTCATCAACCAAGTGTAACAACGACCGTTTTGGGAGAAACGGTCGTTGCTACACTTGTTTGATGAATTATTAACATCTTAGTTTAGTATTACGTGCATGTAAGTGATTATTAACAACCTATTAATAGTTTCTAGCCCATTATCACGAGTTAAGCTTGTGGTCATTTAATTCTTAATTTAATTCAAAAGAGTAGACAAAAGCTAATAAAAAAATTCGCAATCGTCAACTTTTATCCGACCTGGATTAACGTAAAATAGAATTATGACAGTTTTTAACTCTCATTCTTTTTGTTCATTCAGATGCTTCACAATATTGAAAAATAATTGTGCATGCTATAAATTCGATAAAAAGAAAAAAGCTAGGCAACTGTTATTATGTTATCGTATGAACACGTCGTCGATTGTGTTTGTGTCGTTTCAATTGGCCAACATTTAAAAACCGAAATATTGCTTCAATGAGGTACAACAGAGAACCAATAAGCCCAAAAGCCTGCAACCAAAAATAAATAATTGATACATCAGACAGATCGATAAAGAGCAACTTTATAGTGACTCACTGCCGATGCTCCGGCTGCTCCAGTTTGTGCTTTTCTAATACCGTTTGGTGTATCTATCCAAGAATTTGATGTATAACGTTTACCAAATATTGTACTTAATTTTAACTCCCAGAAGATGGCTGCAATCGATATTGGAAATAACAGCAAGAACAAAATAAGCATTATTAAACCAATCTGTAGCAAATAAAAAGATCGTGTATTTGAGAGATAAGAATTAGCAAGTGTAATGCTAAGATACTCCACTGGTATAACTTGCAAATGAGTCTGATAGAAAGTTATAGTTGACGAGAGAAAATATCAAAACATCTTACCACCCTAGTGATCGTTTTCCATTTTCGTCTTTTTCTCAAACCGGCGAATACATGAAGTAAAAATACAATTATTGTTACCAGAAAACATAGTACACAAATAACAATAATTCCCACTTTAACTGAATATGCTTTTAAAGTCAAATAAGCGTCTGGCGATGGTAGATTTTGTGAACATTCAACTAAAGCTGCAATATATTGACTTGATGCATAACCTTGACAAATATATGATACCCAGTCAGCTTGTTGAGCCCATCCTGTGGAAGCAATACATGCAAGAACCAGACACCAGAATACGCAGATCAAATAAGATTCAAATCAAAACAAAAATATATAATTGGAATCAACTTAAAAGCAAAGGAGATACTTACCATTTCACATATTTCTAAAATACCTAATATAGATTTTGGATAAGAGCGGTCTCGTCTATACATCTTCATTACTGAAATGGCTTTCGAATAGAATACTACTGCATATTAGCTATTGTTACACATTCCATAATGTGAAATTGATAAATTTGTTTCTTTTTAACTTTGAAGTTACTCTTATAATTTTACAGTAACTGAATTGAATTGAAATACTCTTCCCTTCGTTCTATAATTTTCACATGACAAACTCCCTCTAACTTTGTAGAAATATAAATAAAGTACACAAGTATCCTTTGTATTTTTCTCTCTTTTCTCACGTTGAGATATCATGCTGATTTTTTTTACTAATTTGAGAGTTCAGGTTAATATAAAAGAAATTTTGTTATGAAAGAAGAAATCTGGCTGATAATTTAGTCAACTGTCATTTATAAACTTATTTGAGTGACTAAGAGATAATTTGAAGTTGAAAATGCTCTCATAGCTTCGAAATTCTCAGACTTTGCTAACAAACTGCTACTACCGTAGGAGACCATCAGATCATTTTTAAGCCGTGTTTAGATTTTCGACGCAATTTTTGCGTCTTGGAATGCGGTAGACACGTTTCTGAATGAAATAACCAAACTTACAACTGTTGAAATAATAGATAACCATGTATGGATCTTTAGCGTTCGACAGTACATATAAAAATAAATTTGTGCACAATATTACTTCTCTTACTTATTGCATAAGTGCATGCATGTACCGCACATGACCGCGCTCATGTTCATTAGATCCGCCATGACCGATAACCTGTAGCAAAATATCGACAAATTATTTAACGCTCAAACAGTTTTTAAGTAGAACGCATTTAACAGAATCAGAACTTATTTTGCGTTTTTCTTAAGGCTGGTTTTTAGCCTTAGGGCTTTCGTCATTCACAGGAATGCTCGGTAGCGATACATCGGAGGAAGTTTTTCTTTTTTTTGATTTGTAGATAACACCTATAGGTGGGAGTTGACAGAGTCCGATTTTTAAATTATGCTTCTATTTTTTATAGAAATGAGGATTTCTAAGAAACCTTCCAAGGATTTTTCGAATTTTAAAGTTCTATTAAGCACCAGAAATCAGTAAATGAGAAATTCAAAAATCAGCTCTGCCAACTCCTAGGTATAGGTGTTGACTGCAAAGCAAAACCAGCCCGAGCTCTCTATCATTCAGCTGGGGTGAGAATTCTTGTGAATGGCAGACGGCTATTTTTGGCCCTTGTTGCGGCGCCCTCTCACGAACAGTTGCAAGTGACGTCAAAAAAACATTTCATTACCACACTTTGACATGGTCAACACTCCTTTTAAAGTTTGGCTCAGATCAGACCAACCCGGGCTGAGATAGGCTTCTGACCCGGGGGAGCCTTAATAGCTTAATATTTCTCCATAAAATCCATACCACATTGATCGAGAAATGAATATGCCTCATTGCAATTCAGGTTTTTGCCTGCTAAACTTGTATGTGATTATAATGATGCCAATCCTCCAAGATGTGCTGATTGTATCGGCACATTATAATGGCAGGTGTCTTACCTATCGTTCAGATGTCGCTAGTGAACAGTTAATAATATAAGCATTACAACTGGACAGCATACTCTCCAATACAAAATCCCCGTTTTTTGCTATTGTTTGCCAGATTGATGTATTTGCCTTTGTTTGGTTTTAGGTATTTTCCTTTAAGAATTTTTCAGTGTGCTTCGTTGTTGTTTTCACTGCTTTTGTTTATTTCATATTTCTGATCTCCTATATTAAGTCAGTATTTTTCATGAGAATTTTTCCAGAGTGGAATCGCCCACTTTGCTTTCAATAGGAAAGTGCGTTTTCCTAGTTTGTTCTGTGATACAAAGGATTAAAATTGAAACAAAATTTTTAGGAAGGTTTTTTACCGTCTCACAGCTGCAGTTTTCGCATTTACACTTTCATATATGCAACCAGCTCCATTTACCTTGCTAAAAGAGCGTGTGTAACAAAAGCAGTCGCAGTATAAAATATACAGATCTATAGACGTATTTCGATAATCTTTTTTTCCTTAGTCTTATTCGTTATTCTTCATGTTGATTTTCGAACACCGGCGGCCTAGTTGTAAACAAGCAAAGCGATATGACAAGAACAAATGTTATTAATTCTCGTGCACATGCATTTCATATAGAGTGGTGAGTCATTTTTTGTGAAGAAGAAAAAAAAATGGAATTCTTCTTCTCAGAGTGGGCAGTAGATAGGAAATTCATTGTTCAGAGTGTAAACCCACTTTGCTCTCGCTTGTCTCACCAATCGTCAAAACAGCGTATCAGGTTTCGAAGAAAGTGATGAGTAGTTGCGATATTCCAAACTGTTGCTGTTTGATCAGAAACACACATAACGCACTATTATTTTGCCTTAGAATCGCGTAGAAGAACCTAGGTTTTTCTTCACATCTTTTAGACATACATAATGGGAAAGCAGGTTGAAGGGAGTTCTACGCAAGTCAGAAAGAAAAATTGCAAGAACGATGTTTCAATTTTTTGTTTTTCCTCGTAGATACGGAACAGGGTTGCCAGATGTCTCACTTTCGATGGACTTGTCTCAAATTTTGTAAAAAAATCCATTTGTTTCACTGTGGATCACTTTTTGAGAGTTTTATCCATTTTTTGCAGAGGTCAATACTTCCGTTGCCATCCAGTGAGAACTTAGTTAAACAAATACGGCCAGAGATGGGCGAGTACGAGTATATACTCGAGTACTTCCCAAAAAACTGGTGACCTTTTCTTTTTACTATTTACGTATCAAAAAATCGATTTCTTCGGAAATGTTTTCGGAATCACCAGTCAGTTTATACTCGAGCAGTACTCGATTACTTTAAAATACTCGTACCCCTACTCGTACTCAGAAATTCGTGTACTCGCCCATCTCTAAATACGGTCTAATAAGAAATACTCATTCTCTGCGCAAAATGTTAAACAATCGTAGCCAACGATCCCAGCGTATGTCTTTAATTCGTAACTCTAGTTAGTTAAGTTATATTTTTCTGTATAAACAGCAGATTTCAGAATAACGGTATGAATACTATTCATACCTATTCATTGAATAGGATGATTTTGTTGTGGTAGTGTTTATTTTTGTGTACCGGTGTGCGTGGTCTTTTGTCTTTTATACGAAATTTACTACGATGGAAGTTCATTTTTATATTTTGCTTAAAAGAGTCTAAAAATAAAAAAGCCTTCTATAATTTCAAGAAATCGGCTAATTTACTTTAAAAAAGTCCTATTTACTGTAGTCAAAACGTTCCACTTTCGAAATTTTAGACGTGGTATCCCTGATAGAAAATATCGTTCTACATCCAAATTATTGAGTGGATTACGGGTTAACTTTCACGATTACTATACTATAATAGATCATAAATACTCATCCCGGCTCAGTCTCTTTGTTACAAATAAAGAACCTTAGTTATTTCAGCTTGATCACACATATTTCTTATTTTCTATAGCAAATCATTCGTATGCATTTTAGATTATTAGTTCGGTTGTTTGTTCTCGGTTTTTACGTTACCATTATTTATTTTGATGACAGTTGATAAAAGTAAATTACAAGTATGTAATAATGGACTCAAATTTTTTGTTTAAACCAAATAAATTTCATTTTTTTCTAATTTTCAGTTTCCTACAATCAGCGATTTTCATTTTATTAAAATAATTAGTCGTGGTGGATATGGGTAGGTTGAGCAAATGCAACAATGTTGTTTATATTTTACTTTTTTTTTTGTTAGGCGGGTCTATCTTGCTACGAAAAAAAATGATGAGAATAAAACAAAATACGCTGTCAAAGTTATTAATAAACATGATATTAGAAAAAAAAATCTAATCAATCAAAGTATGTAACTAACTAATAAACTCTTATTCGATATAACTTTTGTGTATTTCCAGTTCTTAATGAGAGAGATGCACTGGCAACGATGCACAGTCCATTTGTTGTACGACTATTTTATTCATTGCAAACAAAAGATGAAATTTATCTAGTAAGTATCTATTATCTCATAGATCAACAAATGAAATCAGTTTTGCGCATATTAGGTTATGGAATATATGATTGGTGGGGATCTCATGTCACTGTTGTGTGTACGTGGTTGTTTAGAAATACACGAAGCAAGGTTTTATTGTGCCGAAATGGCTCTTGCACTCGATTATTTACATAAACGTGGCGTTATTCATAGGTAAATGAGTAAAATCTATTCTTAAACTTGCAAAAGTACAGCTATTTTCTTCTGATTCTTTATTTAGAGATATTAAACCTGATAATGTACTTATAACCGCTTCGGGGCATGTGAAATTGACAGATTTTGGTTTATCGGAAATACGAAATCGTCGAAGTAAGCGCGACTTTTGTTGAAAAAAATTGTTAATATTTCTTTTGTTTGTTTCAGAAGTTTCAGTTGCTGATGTTATTGGTACACCGTCACTCTGTCAAGTACGAGTATTTCGAACACCTGGTCAAATTATATCGTTAACATCCGACTTCAGTTTTGTAAGTGTGAAGATATTGAAGAAAGCTAAGAACAACATCCATACGATTCAACTCACTTGCTCCATTCGGTGTTAGATTTTATAATTTATGAGTTATATATATATTATATGTATATCATTCTGAAACTTGAACTATCAAAACAAAATCAATCCTTGCACGAAGCTAGAATAGCAAAAATCAACTGCGTTGTTCTTTTCCTATATTCTCCACAATAATTGAAGTTATGCAATGACTCGAAATATTGAGTTGCTTACGGCAGAAATTATGCTTGTACTGTGATATTGGTATGTCTATTATTTACTTTTAGTCTCCAAATGGTTCAAGTTCTGAAATATTACAAACATCAACGTCATATTGTACAAGTACTAATGGTATCGAAATCAATAATTCTCGTAACAACAACAGCAGTGTTTATGATCACAGTTTACGTATATATCATGGTCATACACAAATACCCTCGTGTATACCAGAACATATTAATGATGTTAATGATTCTGAAATGCTTCTTGATGATGAACAGCAACAACAACAATCTCCCTTTCTATTTAATAGTCCATCATTTGCAGCAGATACAAAACAACGGTTGTATCCAAAAACAATCGCACGTCTTCTTGCATCATCACCGGCACATCATCACCATCAACGAATCTTTCAAACAACTACAAAAGAAATACTACACAAATCACCTTGTGTATCACCTATTCGATATCCTATGGATGGTTCATTTATTCAACACCAACAACAAAATACATCATTAATTCTATCTGTACGATCACCACCATCAGTTACTGAGGAAAATAAATTGACAAAAAAAATAGTGAAAGAAACAATTCATGAAGAACTTCAAATTGAGAATGAACCAATATTACAACATAGTAAGTCATCGAGACAATCATTTGACTAAAATAGGTGTATTTTAGTCTTTCACTTCAAAAAATTAGATGATTTATTTTGTGTGATATTAATGTGATGTATATCTCTGGTATCTTTTAGATCATAACGATGTTGAAGCTGCTAGAACGCGTAATTTTTCTGTATCAGAAATGGTTTCTAAAATTGAATTGAATGATAGTGTGAATACCAATAACGTGTCATCATTGACGTTCAATGATTATCTGGATGATGACCAACCGTGCGTAGTTCGACGTCTTATGTCGAATGATCATTTATCGGGCGGTTCGAGTATTACCGGCATTCATCCTCAACATCGACCATCGCCATATCTATTTCGTGAACGTAGTCCAAATGTCAGTTCAGATAATACAGATTATATTCAAATAACGGAAACAGTGAAAAAGTTAACTACAAAACGTTCTCGTCAATCATTACAATCTGAACAACAAGAAAATAAACGAACTAAAATAAATGAAATAAATAAATATCACACATCTTTCATTATACCATTGCATGCAACAACACCCGTTAAACAACTAACATCTCATTCGTGGAATGGACATTCGGTTATTACTGACGATAATGAAACAAAACGTCATAATCATCCTACAAATGCACATACAGTCGATGATTGTCATGCAAAAGTGAGAAGAAAACTAAAGAGTGAAATGTTTAGTAAGATGTTAGGAGAATGTGGAAGAATTCTATCTGTTCATTTTTTTAGTCTATTTATATGTCTCAAAATACATCTACTGCAATACCATTTGCGGATTTAATCACTACTACCACAACTCATCATTCAATGAGAAGTAGTTATTATAAATCTCCATCAAATTTGCAGCAGACAAATAGTGGTGGTGGACCAATACTTGGTACACCCGATTATCTAAGTAAATTGTTTTTGTCTTTGATTGAAAAATTTCTATCTGTATTTCTGTTTCAGGTCCTGAAATCTTGTTGCACAATGAAAATCATAGTAAATTAATTTGATTGTTTATTTATGAGCTAATTTTTATTTTTGTATCTTTTTTTTGTTTTATAGCTGCAGCGGTGGATTTTTGGTCGCTAGGCGTTTGTTTTTATCAATTTTTATTTGGAATTACACCATTTTACGATGATTGCCCACGTGCTATTATATCAAATATTTTAAATTATCGTTTAATGTGGCCAGAGAATGACGATGAACAAATACCAGAGGAAGCGATGAATGTTATCAAAGGTTTATTGAGTTTTGATCCAGCAACACGTTTAGAATTAGAAGGTAGTAGAATAATGAAATGTATTAAATTGAACACAAGATCTTTTTTCTTCTTTAGATTTGAAAAAAGAACAATTTTTCAATAATATTGATTGGGATCATTTAGCAATGTCACCTGCACCATTTATACCAACTCCAGATAACGATTCAGATACGTTTTATTTTAATGGTAGGTATTACGAATTATTTTATCACACAAGCGGTTTGATGAATTTGTTATGAGGATTCTAAGAGTAAAGAAAATTGAAATGCAACGTAAAAAAAGGGTGAAATACTTGCTTGACTACTTGTGTCTCTTCAGTTGGAATATAAACAGACATACCAGCACTATTTTCTATGATTGTATTTTCTAGCTCGTAATCGTGCAATTGGTTTTGAAGTAGAAACAAAAAACGATATTTGAGATATGTACTTATTATTTTATGTATTGTTTATTTGAACAGTAAATTATTCTCGACATCTCTCTCCTCGTTATTTAATGGGTTCAATTGTTGCTCTATGTACGTTAGATAAATGTGGTGCATTGGTTTTTTTTTATCGTTCATTTGCATGCTCTTGTTTATCGTTTCGTCTAATTTTAAAAAATGATGTGTAATTACATGTTTCTTTTTCTATATTTCGTTTTTTTTTATTGCTGTACAAATTCTTGCTCAAGATTGTGTCAAATATTTATCTGTTTCCAACATATGTAAGATAATCATAAATGAAAACAAAAGAATTTTTGAATAAAATAATATTAATGTACGTAAATGAAAGAGAGTGGTTAAAAAAAAATTAAATATGAAGAGATAAATAGTTTATTCTTGCACAAATATAAATCTTTGTATACGTTCGATATCTTGAACGGTAGTATAACACCTTTATATAAAAATCTTCAAACATTGTGTTGTTCACTCTTGTGATGGCTGTATCTCGGCATCTTTTACAGCTATGGCTCTGAAACTTTTAGTGCAGATTCATGGATCCATAGGAACTTCGTCCTAAAATTTTCAAATAAATCGGTTGAACTCATCACAAAATAGACGCACCTGACTGAAGACTAAGATTTGCTGCTCGGCAGACCTTTTCATTGAGAAAGCCATATTTCAGCTATTTCATCGCGGTTGCCGAGATAAATTTCTAGTGCACATCGGCGGTTGTAAACTTTTCGACGGTTTCTGCATTATTAGGTCAGTCATTCGTAGTTGATGTTGGAATTTTGCGAGGTGAAACATCTCTTGGACAAGCAGAAGAAGGTACAAAAGTTACATTACAATGCGTACCTAGTCTAGATCTAGCTCATTTTTCAACATTCAAATGGACATTTGTACCTAGCAGTGGTGGGTGATGGACGAGGATCCTCTCAAGGTCCCGCGATTCTTCACGGAACGGATACCGCGAGCAGGTTTTTTTGAAAGCTTGACGCGGCAAGAATTTCATGACGCGAAACCCACGAAGGACATTTTTTCTTGTGAGCGAAAAATTAATGTTTATTTTGATGTATTTTTATAAGAAAGGTGGTGGTTCTCCTTGTGAACCAAGATGAAACACTGAATAGCTCATGTTAGCAGAGATTTTCCGGACTCAGGAGGATCGATTAGGAAGTGCCAGAGGAAAATTTTATCAATAGTTGACGGTGGACGAGGCGACGACGGCGCAGAATGCTTACGGAGCGACTCCTGTCAAAACTTGACGAGGCAGGAAGTTTGCGAGGCGATCCTCTGGAGGAAGCTAACGATAGTCCATCGCCCACCTCTGATACCTAGTGTAGTTAGCCTAATAAATACAATATTTAATGCATATATGTGTTTATTTATATAGAATCCGGCATTAGTAGTTTCATCGTGGTGATCCTCATCCTCTCTTAGATATCTTTCGCATTTCTCCAGCAGACAGTGGTATTTGTGCATGTGAAGCAACTAGGAAGAATGGACAAATAGCAAGGGATTTAGCTAGTTTATATATTACAGGTAAGACATCGTACACTCAATGACACACCCAAAAGCATTTTTCTTTTGTATGTGGATAAGGACAACCCATTCAACCCCTATGATGTAAAGAAAATAATAAATCAATTTCGCTTTCGCAGAGATACTGCTTGTCAAAATTTCAACAACTTGTTAAAACTTGAAACAAAGCAAACGATAATCTTTTTCTTTTAATCCTAAACTAGTCTCATGTACCCCAAAACAGGATAACTTTCAGCCCAATCGGTGAATGTAATAATCACTCTAGCTAATTTCTTCCTTAAATTTTAATTTTAATTTTGGCAATACACTTTTTACTTTTTGCATATCGTCTGTTGTATAGTGGAATAATTTAACGGTTTTAAACATTTTTCTTTATCGCTTAATATATCTTTTGCAGCTGCAAGTGTTCGGTATGGACCATAGGAAGTCGTTTCATGCATGGCTCGTTTGGTAGAAGTTCAGCTTGCAAATGTTTGTTTTTGACGTTAAGAGGTAAAAGAGCTCAAGAAAGGAATCCAGATTGGGAGCTAATATTTCATGAAGTCCAAATGTTCCTTGAATTGATTTTAATCAATTTTTCTTTAGTACAAAGAAGTCGAGTTTAACAAGAAATTTGATAAGGAACTTGTCTTTTCTCTAATTCTTTTCTGATTTGAACTGAGATTCTCGGTATCCGTAGAAACGTTTCTCTGCCAAATATTCTGTGAGATATTAAAAAACAGCTAAAAATCTAGTAAAAAGTGAACATGTTTTTCGAGAAGGATTTGCTCATTTTTTGTTGAATGAGAAATGTAAACGGGCAACAAACATTTCTCCATGTGCTGGGTACAACAATTTTCGATAAAGTTTAAGTTTAATTACCGGCAAATTATATCAGAAAATAATCTTACAGCATAAACGAAGATTGAAGTGCTTGTCGGATCGAAATTCAATCGAATTGATATAGAAAATATACATAAACCATAGTCTTCACCTTCCATTATTTTGCTGTATCGTTCAGAAAATATGTATGTTTAATCACATTGACGAACTGGATGTAACAATACGAATTTAAAAATTGTACATTTTTCCAAAAACAACTTGGTTGAGAAACAATATATTGACGTTTTATTTTCATCAAATGTTCCTGGATTATTTTTCAGCGACTGATTGATTGTGAGTTCAGCAAAAATTCTCTGTATGTCAAATGTTAAGCTACGACGCGTTAGAATTTTCTGTGTTTATCATTAAAATCGCTAAATATCATACCAGTTTGTATAAATGTTGCTCTAATATTGTAATATTTGCGTAAATAACGATATTACTAAACATATTAGACGGCGATGAATTATCGCTTTATGCTTATTATAGTGGCACTGCCAGTAAATCTCATCTTTATTAATAAAGGTTTTCACACTACACTTAGTAAAACTCGAGTTTATTTTGCTCCACAACAAGCGATTTTTGATGAAATGGACAGTGATACTCATGCGTTGTCGGAATTAATCTGACGTATGTTGCACACTTGATTCTGAATTTCCAGAGGGTTTTTGTTGAACTCACAATCAATCAGTCGCTGAAAATAACCCACAAACATTTGATGAAAATAAAACGTCAATATATTGTTTCTCAACCAAGTTGTTTTTGAAAAAATGCACAATTTTAAATTCGTATGGTAGACAGCTAGAATAGAGAACTTTTTAATGATAGAAGAAAAATAGCTTTTGCTTCTATAGATAGGAAGATTATATCGTTATACCGTATTAAACTTTAATACGGAAGAGTATTCAATTTGATTCAATTCATTATGTCCTTCCAATCAAACAGAAATCAATGAAGTCGACACCACTCGCCTTCTTCTTCAACGTTTGTGGCGTCAGTGTTAATGATGAACTAATCGAAACAGTCTGTCGAATGACACACACGAGTCCGGTCACAATTACTACTGCATTCATCTATGTGTACCTATGTGTATTCATCTTCGAACACGATTTGCCATCGTCTCACGTAGAAAGAAAGACCTTTCTCCAATATGTCCATCAACTTTCCGTCAAGTATGAATCCAAATACAATCTCGTTACTCAGAAAGGTCTGTTGAGCATTCGAGTTCATCGCTACTTAGAAAAAATCGACGAGATTAGCGATGAACTCTTAGTAGACGTGAGCCGTGGTGGAACGTTCTTCTGTGTCGATACCTTATCGATGGTCGTCGGTTTTGTCGCCGCAAAATGAGCGACCTTTGAAACACTTGTAAAAGCGTCAGAAATAGGCGGTGATACGAATATTGTTGGGACGATGATTGGTGCACTTTTGGGTGCTACACAAGGTCAACAGGCTATCGACAACCGGCTTGCTGAATTTGTCTATCGGGCTGACTATGAGGAGTTTGGACAGGCTCAAGTGCAACAGCTTAATCTTCTTCTAAGTTACGCGCAGACTATATGACCAAGAAAACTTGCTAAATAATAAAAGATTGAGCTAGAAAAGGAACGGACAATATCCCGACCGTTATCGGTATAGGATACTGCCAGAGATAGTTTCTGTAGTCCGATATTTTCCCTACAGTCGATAAGTTTCAGAAATGGTCATCCATCTCATACCAATCACCAACCTTGGCTCGGGACAGGCTACCTGATGCATAGTTCTTTTGCTCAAATACTTGAGCTCTATAACGCACTTACTACCACATGTTGACCGTCTCCAGAAGGTCACAAGAACAAACGGGCGGAGCTAATATATGTCACAACACAGTAAGTACGCTATCGGACGGGTGATCCGAGGCACTAGTCGTAAGTAACTTGTCCAATGTTATTTAATACCTTGCCGGTGCCAAGGTTCGAACACAGTATCTGTGAAGTATGTGACAAATTACTCAACCGCCAAACCGTATCCACGAAAAGAATCCAAGGAAAAGGATGTTCTTAAAAAAACTCCGCTCAGCACTTTAGAGTATCTCCCGTAGTTCTTCTGTATATGTTAATATTATGAGATGTACCTTTCTTCTTGTCTTGTTCTCAAACATACGCCAACGTTCAGTTCAATTATATACTTGTCTATAAAAGAATAAATGTATTTTCTTTAACTAATGTTTGCATATTTATTATATTAGTTTAAGATCCAACTTGCCAAATACTCGAGTCTATTTATTTGAGGCTATCAGCAAAGACTGCTGTTCAAGTTAATGATACTTCTGAGAAAAAGTCGATGACATCTGTTATACACTCAATGGTTCACGTGGCACAATCACTTAAATATTTTGGTCCTCTTCAAAACTATTCAATTTTCAGCTTTGAAACCGCTATCGGTGTGTTTTCAAAAGCTCTGAACTCGTTATTTTAATAAGAATAATCAATTGACATGCACTGCTTTAGGTTCCATAGTACAATCTGTTAATGGTACAAATTTGATAGCTTCAGAATTAACGAACAATATTAATCTTTTGGAATGTGCTGCAGCACACTTTAATAATGGCAATTTTAACAAATCTCTTGAGTTATTCATATTCCGGCTTTTTTCTTCAAAACGGCATTCACTTCCTAAAGAAGGATGTACAAATCATGACGATTCTATTCGACTTGGTCGTACATTTGAGCTACCTAATAATCATGTTGTGATGAATTACTTATGCATCATACACTCCTTGCCCTTCTCTCTTTATCAAACATGTTCGAAAAGAAAAGTTCAATTTTCTGTATATGACCCGAATTCCACCACAAAAAATTGTGATTCTTGTTTCTTGTTCAAGAGTGAACGAAATGAAATGAGCTATGGATTTGTGATGGCTATTGTCTGCGATTCGAGACAAGAATCTCATCTTGTCATCTGTACGGTATACATCAATCGTCGAGATTCTTTTACATTCAAGATAAAATGTGTGATCAATCCATTTATTTTTTGGGGACAGCCAACGGATCCATCTCAGTTGGTGACAACCCATGTGGAAGATGTTATTGTGAAAGTTGCTTGTAGAAAAGAAGAAGAACTTTTTCATTTTTCCCAATTCCCTAGTACAGTTGGAAGTGCTTAAATAAATGGACCGAAGTGGAGAAGAACCCAATTGAGAAATAATTAAGACGGACCGAAACGGGGAAAAACCGATTAGCAAATTGTCGATCATTGAACATGAACTGAAAACATTTTGTACAACATATTCTGGATCCTTGTGTGAAAGACTTCACAGCAAAATCTTAGGAAACTTAATGACGGAATATCTTCCAGAGATCATGTTGATTCGATTTTGATTTTATTTTCCATCGAAGAACATCATTTCTATTCAGGGAAGATTTTCTCGCATCGAGTTTATTGTAAAGACAAATCTTGACAGAGCAAAACCCTTCTTCATAGAAGAGTACGTATGCATTGAATTTCTGTTGTACGAGCAAATAACAAGAAAATCAAATGGTTATGTTAGGGTTCTATTCTCGCGATGTGCATCATCATCTAATAACCAATCGAAAAAGCATAAAAGAATCCTACTGCGTTTGAAGATGTTAGAAGAAAGTACACACTTTCCACTACATTAACTGAGGAATAAGAGCGACATTTTCAAACAAGAAAGAGAAAAAAGGCGTTCTTTTGTCAAAGTATGCTTGTCAGTGTGTTTTCTCTATGATTGACAATAAAAGTATTTAGAGCCAACAGATTGCTTTATGCTATTTCAATACGTCTCGTGTGTGGGACTGCCGTTGCAATTTTGTTGGCTGTGAAAGTGACACAAACACATAATTAATTAAAACAGTTTGTTCCTTTCTATCAGCTTCTATTCTTTTATCAGCAGATGAAGAAAGATCTATAATTCTATTTTATGATAGATACAAGAATAACAACAGCCACTACTACTACTACTACTACTACTTACTATCGAAACTGGGCGAAAATTAGTACATTTTTCATGTTAAACTTGAGTTTTATTCAAAACAAAAATTAGATTTATGATCAACATTAATAGCTGTGATAACGTGATAACAATAATAGGGAACGAGCTCAAGTGAGAATGGAAGATAGCTGATGTGACGACTAATATGAGTAATTTATATTTCCCAATTTGGATTTCTTTTTGAGCTCAAAAACAAAGATTTTCAACCTCAGCTTCTAAAACAGCAAATATTTTTGAGAATGATGGTGATTGAATAGACTCCCAATACAACTATTTCATTTTCTTATTATTTGCTCGTACGACAGAAATTCAATCCATATGTGCTCAGGAAAAATCTTGTATCAAGAATGTTGTCCTACTTAAAGGAAAAGAAAAGGAGAAACATTTTGTTTTTCAACGAATCTAATAATTTATAATTTTTGAAAAAGATTATGTAAAGGAAGACTCTTTGAAATTGGAAAATGGCAAAATGTCAAGAACTTTTTTTCGGCTTACATTTTCAGTGGTGTTGAATAAACAGAACACATCGTTTTGTTCAGTTTTTTACTCTTGGAAAAATGAGATATTGCTCAAATAAATTGACTTTAAATTTGGGACTAACTAAAAGAATACAAAAGATGTCGCTTTTTCCAAAAAATTTGAACAGATTCATCTTAAAAACTTCTTTTTTCAATGACTATTAAGGTGGAAAAAAAAATTTGGCATCATATTTCATATTTTTATGTATAGAATCGATTAAAGATATATTTCGATATTTTCTGAGTTTGACGGTATTTCTCGACACTCTCTTAAATTCCTCTTTTAGACGCAAACAAAATGAGATTTTATTTCATGTTTTAATAATCGTAGTTTGTGCGAAATAAATGAAAAAAGAAAATGAAATCTCATTCAAAGAATTTTTGTTGCTGAAGAATAGAAGAGCACAAGAAATAAGAACATCTTTTTCATCTGATCACATGCCATCAATCATTTTATGTTAGACCGATTGAAAGTTGACTGTCAATAAAACGGTTATAGGAAGTACGTCTTACTTGAATTTAATAAATTTTAAGTAGTTTATTTTGGTGGTACGTCAAGATTTCTACAATACTTGTTCTTAGTCAAACAGCTAGAGTTACAAGTGCCAAGGTATGCAGTAATGAAAGATTTTTTCTCATCGATATTGCAGTCTTTCTCTCTCTATCTTATAGTCTTTTTTTTCTTACTGTGAACATGACCTTTTTCTTATCTGTAATAAGTTGTAACAGTGAGTGCTGTTTTTCTTCAAGGTTAGAGACTTAATGAGAAATATCCAAAAAGGCGTAGGAGTGAACACTTTTGTACATATTTGTTGATATACTTTTTTCACACCTTTCACGCCATGAAAAGAAAATTTAAACCATAATGATGTTTAGTTTTATATAAAAGAGAGAAATATTTTATTTTGGATATTTTTTGTCAATAGCAGCTAACGTTCATCTATGATTTCACTCAGTTCCTTGTGCTTCCACGTTTTATGTGCTATTATTCATAGGAAAAATATTTTTCATTTGTGTTCGTTTTGTTTGTTTGTTCTTTTTCATTTTATTTTATTTTTTTATTTGAGTCATCCACAGACTGAGAAGAAAAATGATTGTAAATCTGTGAACCAATATAGTACCTAAAATCTTTTATTATTATTTAATTTCAAATAACATCATATATGTTGCTATGTGGACAGAGAAACAGACTATTTATTTCGTAAAACCCTGACTTTTGTCAAATGAATAATAATAATCTACCTACTTACACACTTTTTAATAATAACAAAATGATTTTTTTATGTATATGATATGTGACGCGTGTACACTTGATTTTATTCTATACGAGAATAATTTAAAAATATCAAAATACTGTTGTTATTATATGAGAGAGACGACAAATTTATCGTCATTATTTATTGTTCAATATAAAAAAAATGATATTTGAGATTATATTTGACAGTTGTCTACTGAGAGTGAAAAATGAAGTTATAATATCATTTATTTCGCTGTATAAATTCAAGTGTACATCAATAATGTTGTCTACTTGTTCTTGTATTATTATTCTAATTTGTGTAAAGACAAAAGATATTTAACGAACGAATACTGTGAAAGACAAATCTTAGTCACCCTTCTTCAATTGATCAATAACTGTAAGAAATATTTGTATCATAAAACAACAGGTGTGTGCCAATTTTTTTTTCTTCTTTGAATCAAAACTTTGTGAATATATCAAAAATATTTCGAGAATAAATGATAACTATAAAATAATTTTAAAATATAACAAAAAAATAGAAATAATAGGTAGATCTCTTTTTAGGCACGTTGTATACATATCTGCACATGTAGAATGAACAATAATGATGAAGAATAAGATGTCGTGCCACGCATAATAGAACAATATGTACTAATGTAAATATTATTTCTTTTAAATCTATATTTTCGTAGCACCATCTAGTCAGATTTTTCTTTTAATAAGAAAAGAAGAGAAGACAATTAAAATCAAAAATAAATACACAGTGTCAATGTACAAAGTCATTTCAACATGATTTATTACAATTTTGGTTAGTTTTAATTTCAAAAAACTATTCATCCAATCAATATAACCGAATAAGATAGACAAAAGATAAGCCGTTGACCTAGAGATATTTTTTATAATGTTCATTTTTTTGAAAAGTATCAACAGTTTATTGACCGTGATTCAGATAATTTGAAATAAAAGTTGAGAAAATGATATTTAATAGAAAGTTGAGTGTTTCTATTTTTTACACATTTATTTTTAAAATTGGATTAAACAAATCTTATCTCAAATAGAGAGGGAAAAAACCCAAAAATACTTACGGTACAATACCCGTTCTTTACACTCATTTTTATTGTGTCTTATAAACTCAGTTTTACAAATTCTTAACTTCTAAAATATTCCTAAGCTACGATTGCATAAAACAGTGTAAGGTATGTAACTTTTATCACGTCATATCATCGGAAAAAAAAATAAAGTTGGTTTTGAGTTGCTGAGAAGTGGCTTTTCGTATTCAGCACACTCGATAAACCAGAAGATTTTCTATTTTTGACCCAAGGTACGTCCGAAAGTTTAGGAAAAATTTTCAAACTAATATTATATTCCCATGGAAATTTTTTTGTGCCATTTTGTTTCAAAATTTTTCTTAAACTTTCGGACGTATCTCGGGCCAAAAATAGAAAATCTTCTGGGTTATCGAGTGTGTTGAATATGAAAAAGCATTTTTCGGCAACTCAAAACTAACTTTATTTTTTTTGTTCCGATGATATACAACAAGTTCTTTTCTAGAAACACTAATGTTTCATATTAAAATCTTTTTTGAAAAATTGTATAGATAAAAATTTACAGTTTAAAAAGAGTTAAAAATAATTTTCACAACATCAACTAACAATCAAAGTCAATTGTTATATGACAGTGTGAGTTCATCGAATATTAATAGTTTTAGAAATTATCATGACATGTTAATATCGTACAAATAATCTTCGAAAATGACTTTCATCGACAATATGATTATTTCTTTGAATAGCTAATGATGATGTCAGGTTGATTGATCACTATTCTTTTTTATATAAATATCTCCATTTTCTTCTCTCGCATTACATCATGAATTATAGGTATATCAAAAAATAAGAATTCTTTTTCCTTTCTCATAAAAAAATATTATGGACTATATAAACCACAATAACAACAACAACAACAACAATAACATAAAAAGAAAAAGAACTATTTACGTGATCGACCTTAATTATCGACAGACTTGAGATTTACTAATAAGATTAGTAAATTTGGTTTCATTTCTTTAGATCTGATTCTGTGTAAGAAACTGTTATAGACGAATTACCTAAGATTTTTTCTATTCGTTTTTTTTCTTCTTCTTTCTCTTATAAGAAAATACAAACATATAGCTAATAGTTACAATAAAGAATAAATAAATACAGAAATATAAAAAAAAGAAAAGAAATCATAGACTAAAGATAATGTCCTAACGAATGAGGAAGATATATGAGGGTTGATTTAAAACTTATATCGCGTTATTGTAGATTTTTCTGTTCGTTCTTTTCTGTACTATATTTATCTATTTGGTGTTCTTTCTTTCTTTCTTTCTTTCTTTCTTTGAATATAGTGAATAAACAGTAGATACATGATAATGATCTATAAATACACGCAATATATATTATTTCAGTGCCAACATCGTTCGTGTAAAGTTATTGAACCGTTTATTCAATTATTTCTTTAAAACTGGACATAAAAATTAAATTATTAATAGTGTACAATTAATTTTCAAACATGATAACATCATGTGTTGGATTACAGCAAACAATTACATTAAATCATACCGATGAATATCAACCAAATCCTTATACAGGAAAAAATTTCTATGAAGATAATAATTATCGTGCAGCACTCGAATTACTAGATGGAGGTAAGTTGTCTTATTTTGATAATGCACTAAATATTTTTTTTCCACACTTCTTTGTATGTACTGAATAAGATCAAATTTCGAAAAGTACTTGAGATATGTATATTGATGTAAATTCAAATGAAATGGAGATGTCGATGATTAATTAAAAGTTTTAGATGATTCATATGTAATATTAAAAAATTTTGCTACCATTTTTCGAGATATTTACTATACTGTAAAAGGCATTATTATTGCAAATATCTCAATAAAAGAATATCAAAATAAAAAAGTAATTCAAAAAATCTTAATTTTTGTTTAAATGTTTTTAAAAGTTATCATTTAATCAGTTGCATTTTTGACTCTAAAATACTGTACATCAATCTACATACTGTTAAAAATGAAATAGGGTGAAACAAATGTAATTTATACGTTAGAACGAGATAGTTTAAAGTCTGGAGATTGTCCTTCGAAAACTTTATTTCTGAATGCCAGTATATACATAATGTATATAGCAATCAGAATGAATACGTTTAAATAGTTCTTTTTATTTCTATTTCCTCTGTTTTATATCCAACTGTTACCTCGTTAATAGCTGTGACATATGGTATAAATCGTTAAGCGGTTTGTCGTTCATACTTTGATCTGACATTTCTAGTTTTGAGATATTATTAAGATAGAATATCGCGAACATCAATATGATAATTGAAATATGCATAATGATCAGGGATCGCAGAGAATTTTATGAAGTAAATTTGGGGTTTTTTGAAGCACTTCTGAAAAATCCTCGATACTTTTCTAAACATTATCATGATAGTTGTTGAGAGAAGAACATAGAAAACCTTTTCAGACAACCTGGAGTCCTTCTTTTTCTGCTTTTTGATTCGGTGGCAGATGCGAACTAATTTCGCTACATCTTTTCTAGGCTATGAAATATCACAAGATTTTATCTTCATGATGGAAGATTATTGTGATTTACATCGTCAATTTTCTAGTGGGTTAACATCTTATTATGAAATATGGACAAAACGCATTCAACGTCAAAATACTCTGTGTTTGTATAATACAACAAAACGCGCTCAACTCGATACTGTGAAAGTAGCAAAACAACTAGCTACCATTGAGAATCATCGTATTCATAATATTCAACAAATTATCGATAAATATAAAAAGATAGTTAATGATACTTATATTTCGTCACGTCTCGGCTCACATCAGCATCGACGTACAAAAGAAATTAAAAAACAATTTAAAGATGTTCATCAAACATTAAATAATTGTAAACAAAAACTAGATCAATTAAAGATCGATTTGAAAAAAGCTCAAGACGATTTAAAAAAAGCAAATAGTGCACATGAAATTGTATTTAGTGATTCGACTACCACTGATAAACAACGAACACGTGCAATAGACACGCAAATAAAACGACGTAGAAGTGTGAAAAAGCTAAATGAACAAATATCACTTGTTGAAGATGAATATAATTTAGCACAAAAAATATATAGAAAAAAAGCAAAGTTGATATTTCAAGAATGTCAGCAAGAAGAAGAACATCGTCTCGATTTGATTAAAGAAACGTTGTCAGATTTTTGTCAAGCAATTCAAATTGAACATCAAGCACAGTTAGATAAAATATACGCTGATTTATCACATCAGATTCAAACAAAACAAAATTCATTCGATGATATCATGTTTTGGGCACAATCTTACGGAATCATCGATGATAGTTTAGCTGCATTGATGAGAAACACCACGAAAACAGTAAAAATGAAAAAAAAATTAACCATTGCTGAAGAGCCACCACCAATTACCATAGAAAAAACAGAGAAAGAATCAATCACGGTGATAGCGGGAATAGACGACGAAGAACAAAGAGATACGTCTAAAACGAAAACAATAGCCAAGAAAACAGTAGCTAATTTGAAGAAACCAACAGAAGCAGATGAGACCACCACAGCAAAAGTGCTTGCATCAGTATGATCAGTTCCCTGGATATTACCGACAGAAAAGTAAAGTTTATTGAGAGTCGCGGAAAAGTGCATTTCCATAATCAGCACATTCGATAACCCAGAAGATTTTCTATTTTTAGCGACGAATATTACCAAAAGTTTGAGAAAAACTTTGGAACTAATATTATTTTCTCATGGAATCTTTTTTTCGCCATTTTGTTTGAAAATTTTTCTTGAACTTTTGGCAGCACGCTTCGTCAAAAATAGAAAATCTTCGTGGTTATCGAGTGTGATGAATAAGAAAAAGCACTTTTCTGCGACTCTAAATGAACTTTATTTTTTTCTTCATGTTGATTTCTCTTTCTCTCTCTCTCTCTCTCTCTCTCTCTCTTCCATTAATATAGTAATTTCATTCTGTAACTTTTCTAGGAAATTATTTTTTTGCATCATTTTTTTATTATGTATTTTATACTATGTATATTTTTGTATAATTATAGGCCAACAAAATTTCGTTTTCTCTATAGTAGTATTTATAATCTCGGAGAAAAATGAATGAATAAAAGTTGATACCAATAAATGAGAACAAAACAACTCAGTTTGCTTTCATGTATCGTGATCAAAATTATCGCTATAAGAAAAACACTTTTTTATATTAAAAAACATTATTTTTCAAAAAATATAATCTGGAAGGTTTTCGCCAGAAAACAGAATTTTATAGAGAAGTTCTCTATTTCGTAGGCGCGATGAACTAAACATTTTATTTTTTACCGATTGATAGGTAAAAGTATGTAGTTTAAATGTATAAGGTTGCCAATGTCCGAGAGAATCATACGCGATAGGGATCGAAAGAGAAATTGTTTTTCTAAAGCGAGATCAGGACCGAAAAAAGTCAATCTAAAGAGCTCTAATGTCAGTTCTTATAGCAGTAAGAATTCTAGGATCTTCCAGTAAACCTCCTAAGAACATTTTTTCGTTATTTACGAATGTTGAAATTTAAAATCGGAACTCTTCCAAGAGAAATTAGTTAAAAACTAGAAGAATGGAGCAGGGTAAAGAAAAATTTTTGAATCAATTAAAATGGTTTAAAGAGTTTTCGAGAAACTAGTAGGAACTTATAGGATTCAAAAATATTTTGTCACCATAGTTGAAAGATCAATAATATTTAAATATTATAAATTTATTAGTATTACTACATTAATTATATACGAATTTATGTGTTTTTATTATAAAAAAATGTCAGCTATACTTTTCTGGAAGTCGATGACAAAAATCAAACTCAAAGTAAACTGACATAACTGATGGACTCAGTATGTCTGAAAATCCATAAGCGTCAATACTTATCTTACCACTCTTGATTTAAACGCACAAGATCGACTTTTGTTCTATTCAAAAGACGCTCATTGAGGATAAACAAAAACAGAAAAAATATTAATCGCGCACGTCTCGTTCGTCTTTCGTAGTACGTCAATTATTTCAACATGATTGTCATTACTTCTATTTATTATATAAAACTATAAATATTTCACAAAAAATAACAAAATAAAATTCTGTCAGAATAGTTTATTTTCATTCATTCATTCATTCATTCAGTTTCCATAATATCATCATCAATATTTTCTTCTTCATCATCACTCGATGAAATAGCAGGACTTTGAATGCTGTAAACTGGTGAAAGTGGACTATAATTTGGTGATCTTGACGACGATAGTGGACTAGTCGGACTATAATTTGGTGATCTTGACGACGATAGTGGACTAGTCGGACTATAATTTGGTGATCTTGACGACGATAGTGGACTAGTCGGACTATAATTTGGTGATCTTGACGACGATAGTGGACTAGTCGGACTATAATTTGGTGACCTTGACGACGATAGTGGACTAGTCGGACTATATATTGTTGTATTCAACGTTTGGGATTTCTCGAATGGTGATCGAGCCAAATTTGTTATTGATGGTGAATAAACTGGACTAGTCGGTGAATATTGTGGAGATTGAGGTGTATCTGAACGAGACCGCAATGAATCTAAAATAGCCGAAGATAGATGAAGACGATGAAAAATTTAAGAAAGAAGATACCGAATACTTACTATATGATGGACTAGTTGGATCTGAAAAAACAGAAGAATTAATAAATGATTCAACTAATTATAATCTTCAAGTATCCCAGAATGTTAAATAAACGGGCAAAAATTTCACCGTAAGCAAAGATTTTATTTGTACAGTTATTTCAGTTGGTTTAACGATCAAATGCATAGATCTGCGGGACTAGCTCACTACTGGTTTCAACGCTATCCAGAAGAGTCGGAACCGACGAGAAAAAAATCCGATAGAGGAGAAGAATGGCGTTTAAGTACGAAAAGAGTAGCATTCGAAGACGCGCAACAGAAGAGAATCGCCGTCAATCGTCTATGACCCTTATAGTCGACTTAATCAGATGAACTTTGTTTTACAGCTGTCATAATGCAGCTAACAGCCAAGTTTTCTAGAAAGCTCTACAACATTAAAAGCTACAGGTGTGAAAGTGGTTTCAAAAGATTCCATTTTTACATAGTTTGAGAAAGACAGTAGGGTGCCGATCTTTTCTAGCTGTACACGTAACTCAATTTTGTACATGATTTCTAGAGGAAAGGTGACCTGCCCTTAAACTATCATAGATGAATGAGAACGATTATATTTTGATAATGGAACTAGTTTCAAAATTGCATACTGTAAACTGGTGTTGATGAGGATATTGGTGATTGTGGCGTATATATCATCGGTGATGTTGGAGAATATGATAATCGTTGGCTCGATGGATGTTGTGATATAAATGAAGGATTTGTTGGACCTTAACAATATAAGTTCAGAAAATATATATTATTCTAAACAGTCTTTTGATTAAGGGCAGGAATAGAATAACAGCATACAAGTGTACAGTGATAGTCACTTTTAACAAATTATAGAGGTCTTAGAATGATATTTGATTAGATTTGAAAAAACTTACTGTACGATAAATGTGAATACGGTGAACAATTTGATGTAAAATCAGGTGAAGTTGGAGAGTAACCTAGAAGAAACATACAAAAATAATTTGTTTCAACAAACACTAGCAACAAAAAAACGAAAGCTACGTACGAGGACTAGTTGGAGGATAATTTGATATTGTTTTATTTATATATGCTGGTGATGGCACATAAGTAGGTGATGAAGCAGAATAATCTAAAATGAAAAATAGAAGAAATGCGAAATTACAATGTTTTGTCAATTTAAAATATTTCTTTTCGTCAAAAATGCTTTTTTATAATTAAAAGTATATTATTATTAATAAGCTTGTCTATATCTTGAACCAATTCGAATCGATCATTTTTTAACAAAACTTACAAAAAAGATCGATCCGTGCAAATCGGAAAATTCTACTTAGTCGAATCATCGATCATTTTCCGAAAGAAGCTTTGGATTTAATTATCACTCATGATTAAATGAATAACACTTACTGTAATAAGTACGAGGCCTATATGGAGATGATTGTAAGGAAAAAATTAATGGTGATGTTGGAGAATAACTTGGACTCGAGCTGGTTCCGATGTTAGATGACGTTAATAGAAATCGTTGTTCTGATGAATTGAGTGTGGTAAAATGTGGTCTTGTAGCTACAGGACTAACTGATGGACTCAATGGTGTATGACTTGGACTCGTAGGGAAATATTTATCTCTGTATTTTGGACTAACATAACATGGCGAATAAGCAGGACTATTTGGTAGTGTTGTTAATGGACTAAATGGTGCATAGCCGATATCGGAGAATGGTGATCCAGATTGTTTATTTTGTGGTGGTGTTGTTATGGCCTGTTGATACCATGGTGTTGTACTACCAATACTCTGTTTATTATCAATATCGAAAAAATTATGAAATGTTAATCCATACTTGGTAGGTGCTATATCCATTGCACTTTGACATTTATCAACATCAAGTAATACATCAAAATAGCCTGTACCCATCTTTGGTAATTGTCCTAATAAAATATTTTCGCTAACACCTCTCAATGGATCTTTATCAGCATGTACACTTGATTCCATTAATACTTCAACTGTTTGTTCAAATGTACTACGCATTATTGGACCAAGATCTTGTCCTTGTATACCTTGTCGTGTTATTGGCGTTAAAGCTCCTCTCGCTGTCATAACATCACATAACAATGATAAATGTCTATTATCAATATAAGTGCCATCAAATGATAAAACATTAGTCATTTCACGTTCAATTGCTTTTCGTACAGCTTCAATACCCAATACAGAAAATACTTCAACAATATTATTTGTATATGTACGAATCGAATCAACATCTTTTATTACCAAAACTTCATTTAATGATGAACCATCCGTTTCTAATGTCCATTCACTCTCACCATTACCACTAATTATAAAAGGCTTTTTATTATCATTTATACTTGGTTCTTTCATATACACTCTTGATATTGATTTAATACCTAAAGAAAACAGAAAAGAAAAGATATTAATACACAAATCAGTGTATTAATATGTTATGTTGTTCGGAGAAGTTTGTGTGAGGCAACATGGTGTATGAGAAATGCTTCGAAATTAGATCCGGTAGGAATCGGCCAGACGGTAGATATTCTTTTTTGGCCCTTATTCGGGCGATATCTATTGAACAAAAGTAGGTGGAGCCGTCAACATTGTATGGTAAATATTCCTCAACATGATTAACATTCTCCGAAAGTCCGATCCAAATTGGACTTATAGTTACCGAGATAGATTTCTGACTCTGCAGAGCTTAACTTTCATTCTAATAGAAAAGACTAGATTTTACCTTGCAGCGATAGATCTGATAACATCGTTGTTTCTATAGCATGTAAAAGTTGCTCATCATCCATTCTTATGTTATCATTATTCGTTGTTGTATTTATTTCCTCATTTTCATTTTTATCATCTTCTTCTTCAACTAATCGTATACGAAGAACCAAGTTTTCTGAATTATCATCATTAAATATACAATTAATTGAAGAACCATATAATTGTTGAATTTTATCAGCAACTTGTTCCATTGTTAATTTTCTACCAGTCATACGTTTATGATCTAATTCAATACGCAATACCCATGGTGATAGTTTCGTTATGTTCTGATCTAGTATTTCATAATATGCCCGAACCCATTCTTGATCTTCAATAAGAATTGTTTCTTGTGGATCCGGATCATAATAAATTGATGTATTTAATATGACATGTTTTAATTTACAATGTTCCAATTGACATAAGACATCTTTACATCTTTCAGCATTTTTAGCTGCTAAAGCCGTTAAAAATATAGTCATTGCTGGTGTTTTGGGATTTTTGACGCAATTAATTATTTCTTTTAATCGTGGTACACCTAATGTAACATTTTTAGCACTAACACCGGCATAATGGAACGTATTCAATGTCATTTGTGTCGCCGGTTGACCAATCGACTGAGCTGCTAATACTCCAACCATTTCTCCTGAAAAATATGAGCACATCAACTTTTTGTAGATTATAGTTGATTATATAAAAAATGTCTTTTCTTCGTATTTTCTATCAGCGATATAAATAAATGTCCATCTAGTTCTCGATGGTAAATTTCGATAGATATGTGGATGTAGCAGATATCCTCTAGAGATCTTTCTAGCCATTATATGATTCAATTTAAAAAATATAGGTTTTTACACTAGACAAATCCGAAAAGAGAAAAAACCTGTTTTATTCTCCTGAAAAATGTTCGGTCTCATCGGATGAATAAGAAGATTTTTTCAATAGTGGATTTTTTGTTCATATTTTTAAAGGAAACTGATTCGATCTGGAAACATGATCATATGTTCTCACATCTACCATGTAGACTGCCTATTCTAACTATCAACGAATGATTGAGAAGAGCAAAAAAATCAATAAATCTCAGTACCTGGTTGTACTTGTGCTTGTTGAAAACGTGATTCAATTTCACCACATATCCAATCGAATGCTTCATCTGTTAAATGATGATCTTTAATAATACGTTTTGATGATAATGTTGATCTTATAAGTATTTTTAATAATGTAATAGCATTACTTTGTACTTCTTTTGATAAATAATCGTTACCTTTAATAATTAATAAACGTTTTTCAAATAAATTTTCAATATTATTTATTATTTTAAGAGGTGATAAGTTCGATTTATCATTGTTATCAATTTTAAATAATTTCTTTGCATTGGCTAACAAACGATCTAAACAACAAGGTAATGCAAAATTTGTACTAGCATGTAAATTTGATTCTAATCTTATTCTAACTATTTCACATAATTTTTGTCGATCATCATTTAATTGTTTCCATTCTTGTTCTAATACTGATAATGTATTATCAAAATTAATATTTCTAATATTATCAACAATATCGGATTGCAAATATTTATTTAAAAAGCCTTCATCACTTAAATCAAACTTATATTGTTCTTCAAAACAATTATTTGACAATTTTAAACTATCAATTGATTGAAGTTCAATTTTTTCACCTGCTAAACCGTCTTCACCATAAACAAATTGCACTAAATGATCCAATTGATTACGAACAGTACCATCATATTTTACCATAACAGATTCCATTGCTTTAATTAAACGTCGTTGGATGTAACCGATTTCTGATGTTTTCACAGCAGTGTCAATAAGACCTTCTCGACCACCTATGAAAAAGAATCGACAACAACTTCGATTTTGAAAAAATTTAAAAATATATGCTCAAATTAATATTTACCCATGGCATGAAAAAAGAATTCACTTGGTTGTAAACCTTTTAAATATGAATTGGCAATAAAACCACGCGATGCTGGACTATAATCATCTTTAATGAAATGTGGCAATGTTCGATGTTTGAAATAAAATGGTATTCGTTTTCCTAAACAATAAGAATATTTAGTTGTTTAAACAAGAACTGAATCTAAAACAGGGTGTCGGTCAACTCGAATGTTTCTGAATCTAGTAGTTTTATTGAAATTAACCAATAGTAAAATACGCCGATTTTTTTCTTAAAGTATAAATTATTATTATAATTTATGAAATATTCTTTAAAGAAAAACGCTTTTTTCAAGCTCACAAAAGTTCTTTAAGAATAAGACCTTCGCTTCTAATTAGCGAAGTTAAACATAGGGATGGAAGAAAAACACACTAGAAATCAGCAGAATCAGAATAGAATTAGTAAACTACTCAAATCAATAGAGTTTGATAACTCTGATTTGAAGATTACTTTAAAATACCTTCAACATTTTGTTGTCCAACACAAGCAATAACCTGTGATATATTAATATTTGAACCTTTAGCACCACTAAGTACCATAGCTTTAAATTGATTAAAATCTGATAAAGATTCTTCAACTGATGATCCAATACGATTACGTGCATCATTTAATATTTTATTAATTTTTTCTTCTACTTTTTCTAATGTATTATCAGCTAAATGGCTTTCATGTGCCTCTTCAATAACTGATTTAACTTCATCGATAGCATGATTAATACATGATTGAATATCTTCATAAGTTCTGTCATCAGCAAGTGTATCAGTAATACCTAAACATATTTAAAATAAATACAATAAACAAAATTCCACACGCATAGTGCGAGTGAGTTTTTGTGTTTTTATTGCGGATCTAAACCACCATGTTTTCAAATGTAAAGTGTACATAATATCAGAAATTTCCTCATTAGCAGCATGCAGGGTAGTCAATCAACAAGAAAGAGTACAAAATCCCGGTGATCGAAAGAAATACATGGTTTTTTTTACGGTAAATACGCATAATTATGCTGCTGCTGCTGATGGTGATGACAACAGTTTAGATTATTCAAGAGCAGTAATCGATGAAACAGGATATAGTAAATATTGTCGATAAAGAATGGATATTGCTAGTCACTTACCGATCGAATGTCCTTCAATCAATAACCAGTTGTCAACAACTGTTTGTACATCTGAATAAAATTTTCCAGCAGTTTCATGCCCGTATTCCGTGAAAATAATATGTGCCAATGATCTTGATGAAGTACCCAATGTCTTTTTACATAAGATACCAGATAGTAAACAACCATTTGCAACTAAAACTCTTGTATCACCAGGACTAATCCATTGATATTGACCAGCGTCTTCATCAACTGGATGTGTTACATGTGTGCGAATACAATTGATTCTCGTTAACTTTTGCATAATTACAGAAAATAATTGTTTACCAGTCCATAATGGTTTTGGTTTTATAATAGCTGGTTGTGGTATACAACCATCCCAATCGGAAAACTGCATGACTAAATTCATAAAATCATGTTTCTCCAAAAACACATCACGTTGGGTCATTTTTCTTGCAGCTAAAAACAGCAAGAAAAAAAAGTGAACACCCAATAACGAAGTACAAACAAAATAAAAATACCTGTTAATGTATCTTGTACAATTCCCATAATCGGGCTATTGTTTTGTGGTGTAATTATCAAACGTGGTACCATCATTAATTGTTCAACTTCAGCTTTTGTTTCAAGTGATTGTGGAAAATGTAAATTCATTTCATCACCATCAAAATCAGCATTATATGGTGTTGTCACAGATAAATTTAAACGAAATGTTGAAAAGGGTAAAACTTTAACACGATGTCCCATCATTGACATTTTATGTAATGATGGTTGACGATTAAATACAACAATATCATTATCAATCATTTGCCGTTCAACAATATATCCATTTTGTAAATGTAAATCTGACGGTTTTGGATGAATTTTTAAATCAATACGATCACCATTTGTACGTATTATATATTTAACACAATTACGACGTATTAATTCATATAAATATTCTTGATTCATTGGAGTGACAATTTCTGGATATGTTAAATTTTGTGCTATTGTTCGTGGTACACCAAGCTGATCAATTAATAAATTTGGATCAGGTGTGATAACAGAACGTCCACAAAAATCTACTCGTTTACCCATTAAATTACCGCGAACACGTCCTTCTTTTCCTATAAGATCATAAAGATGTGATTTTAAACAAAACAAGAAGACAAAGTACCTGTTAGCCGTGTTTTAATTGATTTTAATGGTCTTCCAGAATTATGACACGATTGTGGCATCCCAGCCATATTATTATCAAATAGTGTAGCACAATGAAATTGTAAAATTTTAATATTATCATCAATAATAATTGAGGAAGCACCATTCGAAGCATCATTTTTCAATTGATTATTCACTTTAAGAATATTTGCCAAAATATACGTTAAATCATCTTGTGCTCGAGCCGTTCCATCCGATAGAACCGATGGACGAACACAAACTATAAATAAGAAACGATTCAAGACAGATAATTTCAAGGCAAATATTGTTTCTTCGCTCGAATAAATAGGCAGTAGAGTCTGCGGGCGCAGAAGGCAAAAGTCTACACTAACTCAATTTAATCTGCATATTGAAAATCATTTCTTCTCATGAATTTTCCAATTTGTTTTTGTCTATCTTCAGAGACCAACTCGATTTACCGAACTTGGTCCGAATCGAACTCAAAAATATTTTTGGGATCAGAAACTTTCTTTTATTTCATACCAATCTCGATCGATGCGATCCAGCCCACGCCGGGCTGTGTCTACTTTCCCTGTCAAATCTCTCGTTAAAAAAGTCAAAAACTAATAACTGCTATTTTCTACGCGTTTTCATTCTGCTTTCAAATGTGAAAATCGTCGTATCACTCGTTAACGGTTGGTAAAAACGTTTTTTGTATAGGTATTTTTGTCTAAGAAGCAAGAATATTAAAAATAAACTTTTCTAAGAAACTGTACCATACATTCCATTTTGAGAACGAAAAACAGGTAAGAAAACCCTGGAAGCCATTTTTTTCATTCTTTAAATGTGATTTTTCTCATTAGCATACTCGATTTCAGGGAAACTAATATTAAAAAGTTTAAAAAATTGCATATTTTTCAAATTTCAAGGTTCTTGTCAAAGTGTAAATTTATTCGCAGCGACGATAGTTACTATCATCTTGAACTAGAAATGCAAAACTGAAAACAAAAGCAGATTTTCTTATGTAACGCAAATTTGCTCTCACACTTTCCTATAGCGATACATTCAAATTCAAGATATATTTTTTGGAGGGTAATCAGGATAATTTGATCCTTTTTCTGATATAAAATGTTCCCTTATCTATTGGCACATATACATACGTGGTGGTACTGGTAAAACTGTCAATATCATATGTTCGGGACGTGATTGTTTTGGATTCATTCCCAATATTAAACACGTTTCTTCGGTAATATTTTTAAATATATGCCAAACCCGTTCAGCACTCAGTGGTATTTTGGTTTGTGAAAACGAGTTAAATTCTTCTGGTTTATTATTTTTCCATTCAATTGTTAATGTTAAACCAGAATGCTGAATTTTCGGTTGTTCTCGACCACATCCATTAATTTCTTGTCCTTCTATCGATTCACGTGCCTCTAAAATAATATCGATTAAGAGACAAATAGTTATTTTCATTTCTGAAATGGAAAATGCAGTAACCTACCGATATTGCAACATCTATAGTTTTTACAAGCATTATAAATTAATTCGAGACGTTTCCTTGGTTGATTTTTAGTAATTTGTAGAATTTTTTGAATTTTTGCATGTTGCAAATTTCGACGTAATTTTGAACAATAAAAACATATACAGCGTAATATTTTAACTGTTTTTTTTAGATAACCGACATGAAATACTGGTTTTGTCAATTCAATATGACCAAAGTGTCCTGGACAATCAACGAATGTACCACCACACGTATGACATTTTGAGTGTCTGTCACTCGGACCTTGTCGTGGATCCATTAAACCGCCCTTTTTTGGTTTTTCTCTATCTTCATCATCCATTAATTGTGGATATTTAATTGCTTCTGGTGTTGTAACAGACATACGTTTTATTTCATCTGGTGATAATATACCAAATTGTATTTTTTTAATATCGGAATATGATGAACTAGATTCATATTCTGATGGCATAATATAAACCATTATTGAAGATTTTTCAGTTGACTAAAATAAAACATAAAAGAAAATGTGTTCAATACAACAATGGTGCTAAAGGGAGAGAGAAAGTAGACTATGATGAAGAATGTGAAATATTGCAAATAAGGGTACAAAACGCTTTTAGAAAATTGAGTAACACTAAGCAATGAGTTCTCTCTCAAAACAAACCCATCTTTGATCTGCTTTATACTCTTAAAAATCACCCATTTTCCTATAGTTTTCCAATTTCGTTAAATACGTAGACGAACTGAGAGATTTCAAGAAAGTAGGTATGCACCGATTGCGGTCGTTAACTCTTAATAACCGGTTGAAAGATTCACTAGTGATTTAAAGAGCCTACACTTTTCCCTCTGCTTTCTTTTCATTGCAGAATCAGAGGTTTGCGTAAAACTTCTGTGCACATACCACAATGACTATACTCGCACTTAATTCTAAAAAAGTTTATTCTTTTTCATCAAAAATGGCAGTACACTTTTTTCATTATTGAAAAGATCTAGTCTCCCACACATTCCGATGTGCTGATAAATCCCGTTTAGACAAAAGGTAATGGCATTAATCTCATTTACAGTCAAAAACAGCGAAATGAGCATGCCGCAATGATTATTCATTCGGCCGTAACTATTCTCTAAAAAAAGGTTTGTGTACGAAACTTAAAAGGGTATAGAGAAGTGCAACCATTTGTAAACCCTTTTAGGTTTCGTAGAAGACAAGAGACGGTACGAAACCGTTTAAGCGCATAAATTCTAAGTTTTCTTCTAAAAAAATTTTTCGGAGCAAGTGGAACATTTTAGCAGCTGATGCGTACTTTCATAGTATAGGGTGGCGATAACTGAGCCAAAAGAAATACCTGGGAGTTCTGTAATTTTTGATTTTACGCAAGAAAATCATGAGGAAACACCATAACAAAATAAGCAAATGCACTGATCAATCGTTTCAGCGCACTTAAAACAGCTTCGTACCGTACCTTTTCTTCTACGAAACCTAAAAGGGTTTAGAAATGATTGCACTTTTCTGTACCATTTTAGGTTTCATACACAAACTTTTTCTTTAGAGAGTAGTCTATGCCTATCTAAGAACACAACGACGCAGATTACATCAGAGGTTCTTTCATGATATGCGGCTTTATGGAAGGAGTAAACATTTTCAATCGTAACAGTATAACAGAATGTATCTGTAAGTATGAGAGTTGTAACTTTTTCGTTACAAGATGCCGTCGTTTTCTGTTTATTTGATCGGATTTATGCGCACTCCGGGCAATTCCTACAAAGTAAAGTGCCGATCCTTTATTTTTGAATTAATCAAATTTAGTTTATAGTTAGCTTAATTAAATTTGATGAATGTCGCGAATTCTGTTAAGCGTGAAAGAAAGAACAATTAAAACTCATTCTATTCCTTTCTATCTCTGACCTGTTCGCGACTATTATTATTAGAGAAATGAAGGATGAAGCGAAAATGTGTGGTTTATATACTCCCTTTCGAGTACAGAACAGATAAAAGGTGAGAAAGAATTGCAGTGAGAGACTAGATCTTTTCAATAATGAAAAAAGTGTACTGCCATTTTTGATGAAAAAGAATAAACTTTTTTAGAATTAAGTGCGAGTATAGTCATTGTGGTATGTGCACAGAAGTNTTATATACTCCCTTTCGAGTACAGAACAGATAAAAGGTGAGAAAGAATTGCAGTGAGAGAGTGTTTTTCCTATCATGTTGTCTTACATTGGTGTGTGTCATGATTGCGAAATAATGATTATGACTCATTTTTTTCACTTTTCTTTGTGTTAGACAGAGGAAATCAAAAACATGATATTACTGATTGTTGTCGCTAGAGAAACGTTTCTCACAAAATATAATTGAATTACAAGAACAAGGGAAAATAGCAGTGGAGCCCTTATCCGAATTCTCAAATGAAAATATTGTTCCCGTCAATATAGATGAAACTACGGCACTACTTGTACGGCACACAATGTCGTTGTGCCGATATATTCTATGGTTAAATATCGGGGAATCACCTTTAACTTTTTGACCTGAATAAGTCAGACGATATGTCGGTAAAAACTACTATGTCAGGAATTCACATTATGTGAATACCGTTTCCCTTATTGGCTAACATTTATATAATACCATTAAACATCACATGAAGCTGCCCAATATCAGTTGACGCGGGTTGCGTGGGTTGAAAAAAATGAGTCAA